CGGGTTCTTCTGCTCTGAAAGCTAGGCATGATGGGTAATCTGTGACGTTTCGCTCTCTCAAAAGTTGGGCCATTTTGACTTCATGCGCCAATGAGCAGCTCTCATAGGAAAGAATGAGACCCCGCCTCCCACGCTGTATCCAGTTCTTATTATACATCCATGGTCCTGCCAAGGAAGCGTCCTCGTCATTGAGAAACACCCCAGGAGTTTGCTTCCTAAAAGGCTAAATAGTACAAAATGTGTTATGAGTTTTTAAACGCCTCTGAACTCGAGTGTCCTCTACTCCGTGTCCTCAGCCTCGGTGCAGATCCAGGTGGAGCCGGTGGGCCGCTGGTTCGAGGCGTACATCAAGAGGAGGAACAGGACCGCTTCAGCCTCTTTCCAGGAGCTGGAGGAGGAGCAGCAGTCCTCAGAGGAGTCGGAGGACGAGGAGTTCGTGCTGCAGGAATACCCCATGCTGCGGACCCTCGACCCCAAAGACTGGAAGGTAAAGATCCAAAGATATCTCGGGAACTAAAGGTCACCTATTGTGCAAAATCCACTTCTTCATGTCTCTTCTACAACACGTGTCCCCTCTGGGGGGATAACAGGATGCTGCAATTACCTGTTTGGAGTTTCAGCCAATCAGAGAGAGGCTCTGGATATATCTGAGACCTGGGATATATTGATGAAGAACAGTATAATAGTGGACCTTGAAGGCTTCTGCTTTCTTTTGAGAGCGGCGTTTTAAAGAACACATCACACGCCTTTTTAATGCAACCTACTGTTTTTGGGCATCTTGAGCTTCTTCAAAATCAAATATATTCAATTTACAACAATTTAAACTTCTAATAGAAGAAATCCGCACATCTGAGAGGCTGGAATAAGACTTTGGATATATGTCTGAGTTGAGCGACCGATAGATTATTTCCTTTTTCCCAATATTATTTATTTGTTTCGGCACAAAAAGCGAATTGTTTTTAATTACCATCGATCAATGTGTTAGGTTCAGTAACCTTTGTATGTTTTAGAGTTAATTTAAAGATATTTGATTAATTAAATGTAATGAAACAATTTGTAACATTGTATAAAGATAAAGGACATGCACAAAATATAATCAATTAAACTCATTATTATAATTTTGTTTGTCAGAATCAAGATCACTATTGTGTCCTCGGGCTTCCACACTTGAGGTACAAAGCCACGCAGAAACAGATCAAAACCGCCCGTGAGTATATGTGTTATTCCTCCTGCTCTAATGGACCCTCGTATTCGATTTCCAGTAAATAATGTTATTGACTCTCTGCTCCACAGACAAAGGGATTGTGTTGAAGCACCATCCGGACAAGAGGAAAGCTGCAGGAGAGCAGATTGGAGAGGGAGACAACGACTACTTCACCTGTATAACTAAAGGTATACAACACTAACACTCATGACTGGATCATCGGGAAGTCATGGTCATGTTCTGCACCTTTCCAATGAGGTTAAAATAGCTCAAAAATGTATAAAAAAAACAACATTTCTTAACGTCTTTGCAGAGGCTGATAGCTCAAATATATCTAATTAGTTTAAGCATATATTATGGCCAATAAATAGTGTGTGTTCTTAATTCATTAACACATCAATTAGTTCTGCGGGTACAAGCGGCCGAGATGGGTTTTCTCCGCAGGGTGGCTGGCGTCTCCCTTAGGGATAAGGTGAGAAGTTCGGTCATCCGGGAGGGACTCGGAGTTGAACCGCTCCTCCTTCACGTCGAAAGGAGCCAGTTGAGGTGGTTCGGGCACCTAGTTAGGATGCCACCTGGGCGCCTCCCTAGGGAGGTGTTCCAGGCACGTCCAGCTGGGAAGAGACCAAGGGGTAGACCTAGGACCAGGTGGAGGGATTATATCTCTTGGCCTGGGAGCGCCTTGGGACCCCCCAGTCAGAGCTGGTTGATGAGGGGAAAGGAACGTTTGGGGCTCTCTGCTGGAACTGATACCTCCACGGCCCGACCACGGATAAGTGGGAGAAGATGGAGGGATGGATAGATCGATTAGTTCCAATCCAATTCTATTTATAAACCACTTTAAAACCTCCTGACCAAAGTGCTGTACAGAGGAATACAAAATCACACAGCGCAGCTCACAAAATAAATTAAGATAAGTAAAAACAACAGCCATATAGTAAAAACAGTGTTCAATTTAAAAGCACTACCATCTACAAAGTGCAGAACGCAAGGAGAAGACATTGGTTTTAAGACGAGACATATAATAATAATAATAATAATACGTGTTATTTTTATATAGCGCTTTTCCTGGTGCTCAAAGCGCTTTACGAGCAACTAAAGACAAATAACAGGGGCGGCAGCAGCGAAAGCATGGCCCCCCTTTTGTGCTTTAGCTTTGTTCTGGAAACAATCAGGAGGTGATCAGCTGACCTGAATAAAGGCGAGTGGGGGTGTAGCAGCTCAGAGAGGTAGCATGGGGGCATTGGGGGATTTAAAAGTAAATAAAAGAGTTTTAAAATGTATCAAAAGGAACTATTAAACTACCACCAGTAATCCTGCAAAAGCACCAATTCAATGTATTTGTATTCCAGTGGGGACATAAGAACACTTGGTAAGCAATTTTGTATGACGGGAAATAGGAAATGCAAAGATATTCCATTTTAAAAGAATCAAAAACAAAATCAATTTCCTCATGTTTTGCATATGGAGTTATAGCATATAGGAAGGGCCACAAGGTAAGAGACTGTCCTGCACTGAAGGACAAGAAAGTAGAAAGAAAGGGAGGTCAAAGAAAACTATTTCTGCTAAAAAGTAAGCAATGATTGAGAGTCAGAGCCAAACATTTCAGATGTGTGTATCTCACACTGCGCTGTGACTTTCATTCATGTTCCTTTGCTTTTAAATGAGTGTTTTTAAGGGCGCATTCACACCTGCCTTGTTTAGTCCGGTTGAATCGAACCCTGGTGCGTTTAGCCGCTTGGTGCGGTTCGTTTGGGTCGGTGTGAACGCAGTCCGAGACCTCTGAAGTGAACTAAACAACCGGACTCTGGTCCGCTAAAATAGGTCTCGGAGCGCTTGCTAGTGAACTCTGGAGCGGTTCATCGCTGGTGTGAACGCAGTCCGCACCAAAACATAGGAAGCGTATTTAAGCGTCACGCTAAAGATTTTGAAGACATCCGCGGTTGTTTAGTTAAAGAGTGAAGCAGAATAAAGTGTTGAACAGTGTCGTAACAGTAAAAATTCTCCGTCAACTACATAAAAGTAAGAACACCTGTCGTCGGTGAAACGCCCCTCCTGACTGCAAAACGTCTCTCATTATGTGTTATAATGTTTTTTAACTGACGTTGTCTGATTATATAATCATATGCGCGGGCCGCTAGAGTCTGTTGATCTCCAGATTAACAGCAGCATGAGAATAACCTGCCGAAAGTGCCGATGCTCCATGGCGGAGGCTCCGGTAGAAATTGCCGGGATTTGCGTTTTTACCCCCTTAATGTCTGACCAATGGTTGAACAGCATTTCCGAGCACATGACTTGTGTTT